ATCTTGAATGATCATTGTTCACGATGTTAGAAAGTGTTCAGATATCTGGAGAAAAATTAACTAATCATATTGATCAAACATTGTTGCCGAATTGTTCGAATATGATTTGTTAATTCTTTCTTTATCCTCGAAACGATTTCTGGCATTATCGATACAATAAATGTTTCATGTTCAATGAAATAATCGTGAGTTACGTGAGAATAATGGTAGCAGAGATCATAAATTTATTCTATAGGATAAAAATATTAAAAAATCTAATTTTTAATAAAAAAAAATTTCATTTTCACTTTAAAAAAAGTTTCCGTCTTGGAAAAAGTTGTTGTTTATGATTATATATTACTTAGAAAAATCCGAGAACAGATAAAAACGTTTAAAAGTTTCTGACAAAACTAATCGTCACTATAATGGTTGTTTCTACAAATATTTGTGTCTTATACTGAAAGCACTTTAAGGTGCTTTCTATTTAATGACGATAGGTACCTACAATAAATCAATACAATAAGTGTTCTATCTTGGAGTGTTTTCCATTGACACAAGTTGATACATAAGAATTGTTTTGTTTTTATTACTCGTGAAAAGTAAAAAAAGTTAGAATGGCATTTGTGTCAACTTACGATTACTAATGCTTGTTTTCACCAATATATGTAAATTAATTTGATTTTCTTACTCTTCATTTTTTTTAATTTTTAGAACTGGAAAACTTTTGTGTGTGTGCGTCAAGAAAAATAGAATAATGTTTGTGAACGGAAAGTTATTTGAAATATATTTTTGTTGATTTTACTGACTGTATCGAATATATGTATAGAGATCGGAATCTTTAATAAAAAAAGGAAGAAGAAAGAAATGATTGTACATCTCAAAATCGTACTTACAGCTTAAATCGTTGTACGATCTTATACAAACATATATAAAGCATATTTAAAATCTTATTAAATTTTACTTACAAAATGTGACTTAAAATCTTATATAATAAAATATAATTATGCTCAATAAATAAAAAAATTAATGTCAGCAAACTGCCAGCAAAAATCAAGCAAAATCTGTCATTTTAAACAATTTTTTAATGAAATATATTGTTTAAAGAGTCTTAAAATGACAAATTCTGCTCATTTTCTATCAATTTATTATCATATTCCGTAACAAATTCTATTGGCATTATTTCTGCTGGCATTCTGCCGATAAAATTCGTATATTATAGACACTTTAGAAAATCTATTTTCGACAGATTTAGCTATATCTGTTTAAATATCGCCCTAGATTTGTTAAGATGCAAAAAACTCAATATTTATTAAAGAAAAGATTGTGTTTAAATTATAAATACAAATCTATTATACGAATAGATATATGAATAAAATCAAAAGACAAATACAGATTTTTATTAAATTATATTATATTATATAATAAGAGTCAATTAAACAATAATAAAAATAATATAAAAAATACATAATAATAATAATAATATAAAACCGTTGTTTTATAAATAATTTATATAATATTTTAAGAAAAAGTGCTTATTTTAGTATTAAGTTATTTTAATATAATAACTTATTTTTATAGAAAAAATATTATACACATTTTTTTTCAAAAATCTAAAAAAAACTGTCCTACTTAATTTGTAAAAAGTTGATTAAATAGGTCATTTTAACAAGTCATGCAATCGATTATACTATATATACTATATATGCGTAAAAATAGTGGGGATGCGCATGCGTTGGAAAATCTTATAATCTGCTGGGATGACTAATTACTAAATCTGTGGGATAAATTATTGATATTTGTTAGTGATAAAACGGTCGCTATGTTGCTATGCAAAGACTCAAATTCTATTTTCGATTATGTCATATATGACATATTATAAATAATTTTAGAAGGAAAAATATTATTAGCAAAATATAGACGCAAGTATTAAGAAATGTAAATAAACCAAACTGCATGCGTTCCTAACAGAATGAAAAAGTACAATAATATAAATAATAATAATCTCAAATATCAAATCTAATTATAAATCGTGAACTTATTAATAGTATGAACAGACGCGATAGAAAAAAGAAAGAATAATTGTTAACAAATTCGGATGTAGGGTGCAAATTATTACGCCCCTGATGCATAATAAAGACTTGCCATGTATATGTACAAAATACAAAAGCACATGCGGTTCATTCGTATCACCTACACCTTCTGCACTCAATTCGTCACCTTTTCTCTCTCTCTCTCTCTAACATCCAAAAATTAACATTCATCTTCTTTTAAATGCAAAAAATAATATGAAGTGCAAATGTAATATACAGATCTTTATCTTAACTGAGCAAATACATAATATTTCATAATTATTTTGAAAAAGATATGTTGCATATTTAATCAATAAAATGCTTGTATATGTTTATGCTTTTGTATTTAAATCATTTTGTGTGGTAAGGATTTTTATGATATAAACATGCATTTATAACAAAAACTGCCTTTAAACTTCAACCATTTTTTTAAACAAAAAAAATCGTTCATTTCTTTCATGATGCAGCTTCAGATTGTATTATATCCTATTAACAATTGAAAAAAAATAGGATGCTTGCACCTCAAAAAACGTTGCTTAAAGAAAGTTCTTGTCGTACAGTTTCTTTACCAAAAATATCGGTTTCGCAGAGATTTCCGTAGAAAAACCGTAGAAAAAACTTTGAGACAGAGTCTATAATATACGCGTATTATTGACACATATGTATATGTACATTCAGGATGTCCACGCGTTGTTACTTTTCCTTTTCAATCAATAAGTGATTCGACACATACACTGGGCAAGGTACTATTAAAGAAAGTCTATTTAAAGCTGACTCGAGACTAACAAGGATAATCATAAACGAATATTTACGGCGAACAAAAGCGAGCGTATAAAAATGAGTCTAGACACCGATAAGGTACTATTAAAGACGGCCAGTCCCGGGTACATTTTCATGATCAAGTGAACTCGAGGATAATTGAAGAGTACAGACATTACCGACCATTTCAACCGTTCAATATTTGCAAGTCGACATCAGAGATATAATCAATAATAGAGTGTTAAATTTATTATTTACAATTATTATATAGACATTTTATATTTATGATTCAATAATATATCGTACGTGTTGCTGCAAAACTATTTTTTCCATAATAATCATAATTACGAATAATGCATAAATTAAATAAAAATGAAATATTATCTTGCGGCATAAAATATATCTAATAGGCAAAATGTTAGTAAAAAAAAATATGCGAGAACAATTTGTCAGCAAATTGAGTAAAGAATTGCACAACATATATATATATATATATA